GGCACAATGGACAAACTGCAGTCCCATACCCTACACCTCTTCAACATCAACCTGTATTGCTTCACCCCACGAAGGATCCATTTCCAGCTGGAAGTGCACATTTACTGCTCTCACAACACTCACAAGCTCGGGGTGGGGATCAGTAAGTATTCTCCCCAGCAAGCATCCTTACTTGTCAAGTTTCCTTTTTTTTTTTTTGGCTTTTTGTTCTTTTACATGAGGAATTCAGGTCCTGACCACCTCGAAAGATTTTATAGTAAGCAGAGAACCAGGGGAATTGATGGTGTCACCAGCAGCTGAAAGGAGAGGAATCGAAAAGAAAAAGGGATTTTTTTTTTCTCAGTCTGCAGCTACGTTGACAAAAGTTCTCATGGTCCATAACTGACCTGCAGGAGCAGCCTGGTTGGAGTGCCTCGGCTGGGAGCAGCATCCCAAAGTGAGGGGCTGGGCAGCTTTATGTGCTGACCTGCTGCATGACGTGTCAAACCAAAAACTCCCTCAGCTGTTCACCTTTCCTCTTCCAAGTGCTCCTGCATACCAGCCCAGCTTTTTGTGTGAGGATCAGAGCTTACATCAAGCAAATGGTCGAAATTATTGGGGGTAGGGGGGGTGTGTGTGTGAAGAGGGTTGTGGGGGAATTCCTTCCATTAGAAAGGTAGGTTTGACTCAATGAGAACATCAAACTGGTGGGCACAGATCCTTCCAGGGCTGACTGGATAGAGACAAAGACCCAGAGACTCACTTGTGCTATGAACGAGACCACTGTGGGATGCAACCCAGCTCCTCCCCTGCCCAAAGGCAGATTTGCCCACACAGGTGTCAAGGCCAGGAGGAGACACTGCAGGCAACGCTCAGACATTTGTGCTCAATCTTCTCTGTGGCCACAGCTGGGATTCATCATTGTGCCCCCAGACCTTGCTGCCCTGAGCTGTGGCAGGGGAGCATCCCCCTCAAGCCAACTCTTCCCTCCTCACCTGCCTTGCAGTCACTGCTTTCCCCTGCATGGGCAGCTGTGCTTCCATTCTTGGTGCTCTCTGCTGAGGAAGCAGATCCTGGAAAACATTCAAAAAACAATTAAGTAAAAGCATGTTAGGGGGCTTTGAGGTACTTAGGAAAGAAGCCAAGGCTGCTTGCAAGGATAAGAGATCTCACTTGGCAAAGTGAGATTCAGCATTGGCAGAGCTGCAGTCACCTCTTATTGGATACAAGGAAATAAATTAAAAAATAAAATAAGAAAAAAATAGAGCAAACCCAAGCCCTGAGGCTCTTCCTCCACCCTCAGCCCGCTCTGCTCAATCACATCTCCAAAGCATAAAACCATTGAACGTATTTTGCATTTTTCCCCAGTCCTCTGTGCTGCCCTTTCTGCTGAGGAGCAGAGAACCAGAGCCTGGTTTCCATCAGCACAGCAAGGAGGCTGCAGGAGGGCTCACACAGACAATCAGACACGTTCAATTTCAATCTCCAACAGGGGGAAGAAAAAACAACAAAACAAAACCAACAAACCAACCCTTTTCATGGTCTTACATCCCACTGCAGCATCACTCCACTTCCACTATCTGACAAGCCCAGCCAGCCCCTGCCCAGCAGCCATCCTGGGGACAGGGAGCAACCCCCAGGCCACGGGCACCCAGCACAGCGAGCCAACACTGCCCTCGCACGGCAGCTGGGAGCACAGGAGACAAGGCGGTGTCGGTCAGGGCGCCCAGTCAGCTCGCTGCAGTTTCTGAGTGTAAATACATGAAAAAGAGACCGAGTGGATTCCTCCCTGGTTTTTGGAGCATGAAAACCGTGGGTTGCTTGGCGACCAGCCAGCAGGAGATTAAGCAGCGTTATCTGTGCAAGCTGCAGGTTCATCAGCAGTTTGTTTCCAGCACTGGATTTCCCAATTTACCCTGCATGCTAAAGTTGGCATCTGCAAAACTGCTGTTTGAAGTCGTTCTCCCTTCAGCCCTGCTGCCTTTCCCCCTCCAGCTCCTCGCTGTGCTGGCAGACCCCACGCAAACAGCTTTGGGAATGCAAATGATGCAGCTTCTTCCTTTCCATTGGGGTTTGCTGCCCTCATCCTCACCTGAAGACCTTTCCCTGACACCTCTTAGAAATGCGTGGCAACATGCAGGTGATGTCCTGCTAAGTTTCTACTCCTGCTCTTTGTGACCTCTGGTCTTGTCTTCTCCAACCGAAGGTTCCCCAGCACTCCTGCAGCATGCTGCCATGCATGCAAAAAGATCCTGAATCTTTCCTCAGGCTTCCAGACGTCCCCAAACACAGGCAGTGAGGACACAAGGACTTTTCTGGAGTGCCAGCTCAGTTCCTCCCAGCGTAACGGACTGCCTTTAGCTAAGAGATTAGATTCAAACAATTACTGATCACTGATTTTGCTGCACATCAGAGTCATTTAACTCGACAATGAAAAAATCAGGTAATATATTTTGAGCTCTCAGCATTCTATCATTCCTCTCTGTGATACTCCAGGTGTCTGAAAAGCTGTGCTATGTCTTTCCTGGCTAAAAGTCAAGGCTAAAACATACCTCAGACAGTATCAGCAGAGACTTAGGAGATGCCACGACAGGCTTCAGGAGAACAAGTATTCCAGCCACAACTTCTGCCATAACTCAATTCTTAGTGAAGCAAAACACAGGAGTTGTCTTTGCTTACAAGGATGATGGTCAGGAAGAAGAGCAATACAGGAAAATGAAATGAACCAGAGCTCTTCATGGAAGGCAATCTCTCTGCTTAGCTGATTCACACTGTGACGTTACACGTTAGCGTTGCTCTGGAGCAGCACCCACCTCAGCAGCTGGGCAGTGAATCAGAAACACCTGCCACAAAACGTCCATGCAAAGCAAAGTGCCATTGTTTCTGGAGCTGAAAATGCTAAGAGAAGAAAAGCAAATACAAAAGGGAATGTAGGCCTTGTTGCTAGATAGATCATTTATTAAAGTGAAATTCAGCATTTCATCTCTGTCAGACAGTATAGATTTATAGTCTTATACACAGTGGAAGCAGGACATTTCCTACACCTCAGAGAAATGAGTTCTACAATTTTGCTATAAGTTACTAAGTAGCTTTAACAATACACAGCTATATTACACAGTTAAAAATACAAGGTGTCCAAAACATTTGGCATAATATCAGCACAACACATGGAGGCCAGAAACAGAAGAGAGAACACAGTTTTCCTCTCCCAGTAAGCCACTGAAAGACTCCAAGCCATTCTGTGAGTTACCTGCTGTTCACCTCCCCTGCACCCAGTGCTGGGCAGGACAGGAACCAACCCAACTCTGCCAGGGTGCAGCTGGGAGATGCTGGAGGTGTACAGCATGGCCTGCAGAGATGCTTGTGAGGGAAGTTTGGGTTTAAGGCAGAAGCCCCCCACTACTCCCCACATTTTCTTCAACCATTTCATGCATTTCTAACAGACGTGCTCACAGCCAAGTCAAAAACACGAGATCAGGGACAGCTGTGAGAAGTGCAAGGAGCATCCTACATCGTAACTGTTTGCGCTTTGGAAGTGGAAAATGAGATCTCCCCTAACTTGGTAAGCTAGAGATGGCTAAAGGACATCAGTGACAAGAGGAGTGAGGCATCAATAACATTCCTTCACCTTTAGGACTCTGCAGTCGACGCTGTGGGCAGTGCAAGGACTCCTTGTGGTAGGGAGACCACCTCCTATTACCCACTCTGTTAAACTGTAGAAGCAAAGTGACGCTAGTGCTCTAGGGAAGTATAATGATCTGCCAATTTAAATAAACAGTCCTCCAGCAGACCATTTCTCTTCCCTCCAACTGCAGTTACTGCTGAAGATCTCCCATTGGTATTTACATTTGGCTCAACCAAAAGACGTAAAGTGCACAGCTCCCCCTCCTTCCCCTCTCATAAAACATCCATTACTAGAGTTAACACAGAAAGAGTCTTCCCCCACCTTGCTAACTGTGGAAGCGTGTTTTGCTCAGCCTTTCCATGGGCTGTGTCCTGTTGTTTTTTCTTTTCTCCTTGCCATCACGATGTGCTTGAAAGCATGCATTTACTATGGATTTTTTTGGCTCACGATCTTCTTGTACGTAAGATCAACTTTAAAATGTCAGACAACATGTTTAGATCAAACTTTGTACACCATGGAATCTGGTGGTTTACAGCCACACTTCTGAGGAAAACTGGGACACCAGAGTTTTGGGGCCAAGCAGTACAAGCCTGTCCTCTCTGCTTTTTAGTCTGAACATCTAAAGTGCCTGTCAAAAGAAACATCAGCTTTTAATGCAATTGCTTACTTCAGGTTGATATACAATACTCTTTGTGAGGCAAAGTGTTACAAAAACTGCATTCTAACCCAGCCTCCTTGGAAATGCATGCACTTCTCAGCCACCAGATTGTTGCTGACCTCACTCTTCACGTTTCAAACTCCCTTGAGTGGAGCTCAAGCCAACAGCTACCAGTAATTATTTCTTCTTCTTCCCTTAAAGAGAGCAGAGGGTGAGCACACAGGATAAAATTAACTCTGGTAGAGATGTTTCTGCATTATTTGGATTTCATATTAATGGATTTGGATCTGATCAGAGGTCTAATGAAGTAGATGCAGCTCTTCAACAAGGATTGAATTAGGCTATGGAATTGAGTTAGGCTAGGTAATGGCTGGAGGGCTTCAAAGACAGTTCTCTACCCCTGGGTGAACACCTCCTATGCAGGCTTGTAAGAAATAAGCTTCCACTCTATTATAAATGGAAAATGACATACGGTCATCCCCCATGCCCCAAGGCTTGTGCTCCATGGTTCAAAGCTAGACAGAATTTAAGGCCCAACTGTGAAAAGCAAAATGTAAAAGAGGCAAAAAAAACAACCACCACCACCCACCAGATGTCATACCAGCCAAAGCCATCTGGGTCTTCTGCCTTTCCAACAAGTCTCATCTAAAAGTGCTACGAAAACCTCATGGCTTCATAAGTGTGAGGTTCAAACACATTTACTTTGAAATTAAAAAAAAAAAAAAAAAAAAAAAAAAAAAGAGTTGGAAAGTTTTTTAATTGGCATGCAGCATAAGGAATCAGATACACAGAATGGTATTGTACAGAATGACAATTGCATTGTTGCGTTCTCTGGTTATTAGACACTAAATGCTTTTCAAGAATCACAGGCACCCTGAACATGGATATTGCTACTGAATTGACGTGTGAGTTCAGTTTATAGCGTGGCAGCCAGAAAGTGGCCAACCCTTCCAACAAGACATCAGCTTTCATTTGCTCAAGGCGTTTTGCTCTAGCTAAGTTGAGAACAAGGCAATAAGGCATTCGCAAGGATTTATAAGGCTATGGGGTCTGACAGCCAAAGATTCTTTTGGGGTTTTTGTTTGTTTGGTTGTTTTTTGGTATCTTGCCCCTAAGTCTCCCACCTTATAAACAACTGCTAATGGCTGGTAAACATCACTTCATCGTCACATATCACTATTATTATTAGTTTTCCAAAAAAGTATAATTGCTTAAGATCAAAACCAAGGATCACATTTTACATCAATTGACTATTTTCAGAAAAAAAATAAAATAAAACAAACTCCTGGATACCACCTCTGCATAAAGCATTCCAGTGAATACACCTGAACAGATGGAACCTGCCACCGTATTTCCTCAAAAAGAATCATTTTGCTGCTGGCTGCTAAAACACCCCAACAGATGTATTTAATCCTAGAAATAAAACAAATAACAAAAAACCCCAAACAAACTATACTTTTTTTTTTTTTTTTTTTTATACAGTTTTGGTCTACAAGTCACGCTGAGGCGTAACTCTCAACTCAGAAACTCATTTTCTCTTAATAATATCCTCTGACTACGTGAGCACTTTGAATATTAACACGCAGTCAGAGAAAATACCCTTCTAGCTATCTGTCCTGAATGAGAGAAGCCAGATCTCACTGACTGATGTGGGAGCTGCTCCATCCTTCCAGTAAGGATCACCATAAGTCAGAAACTTTGAGACATTCACAAAATACTTCTCCTATTCCATGTTCTTCGGTTTCACATCGATCTGAACGAGGAAATGCTGAAATCACCACGCTCCCAAAACTTCACAACTGGGGCACGTAGCATAACAGGTTATTTCTGGCTATGACACAGAACTTATACATGCTGAAGCTCATTTAACATCTCCTTAGACTTTTAGCACACCATTCAAAGCTGATGTGGACACCTTGCTTTAAATTGTGACTTCATTTTTGAGAGACCTTGGGAGAGCTTCACTCGTGCCTTACAAAACATCTGATGCAGTGTCAAGCTGGGACTGCGACCGCGTGTTCTGTTCTTCAACACAGCATCGTCTAGATTCGGGTGACTAAAATGCTAGCCAGTGTTTTCAACTGCTGAGTTCAGTGCTTAAGGCTTGTTGAGAATATACTCTGTGTGTGGAGTCTTGGCATCTTGCGACAGAATGGAGACAATGGTTGGGACAGCATGAACACAGAGCGGTGCTTTACAGCAGATCCCCTTGTATAGAACTTGAGGTCACTGGAGAGCAGGCAGACGTGACCAACAATTTCATCAGCTCCTTTAGCCAAAATAACCACTGCGTTGTTTATAAGGACACGTTGGCTTTAAATAACAAAACCAGAGATATTTCTGTCTACAGCACTGTTTGTGAGCACCAGCAATCCACCCTCCAGGTCACAGAACTCTTAGCAAAGCACAAGGAACGCTCACAAGAGAAAAGTGCTTCCATACTTCTGGTCATTCAGAGACAGATGAAATGCACCACTCTCCAGTCAGTTCATCGCCTTGGTTACTGTGCTACATCCATTAGCTGAAGTCTGATTCACACCAAGCAGAGCACACTGACCCACACTGCAGTTTTGTGACACCTGTTAAACACCAGCATCAGTATAAAAGTCACACTGCTTCTGATCGATACCTGATCTGGCATAGAGATTAAGAGACAGACGTCTTAACAACCCACTGTTTCACCTGCTATCATTAAGTCTTGAATACAAGGGAAACACACAGAAGTGAAGTGAAAGAGCCTTTCTACCAACATGATCATTCCCAGCAAATTTGCCTTGATACCACATTCTGAGGAGCTGCAAAATTCCTTAAATGCTTATAGATAATTAAGAAGTGAGTTCTTAAATTAAAAAAAATAAAAAAATGGAAAAAAAAGATTCCAGAAAGTTGTTTGGCTTCCATTTTGGGGGGAGAGGGGGAAAGGGAAGATGGAAAAATAAAAAAATAAAAAAAAAATCAATTTTCAGTCTAGTTGAGTCGTTCAGTGGAGTAGAGTTGGTGAGCTGGAGCATTCATAGAAGTTTGAGACTTGAAGCACTGCCTCAAGGCAAGACAGAGCACGTGTGTGTGGGGAGCAAGCTTCAGACAAACTGCTGAGCCACGCACCTCGACAATGCATTTCATCTCTGCTGCTATTCCAGTCCTGCATGAAAACAAACTGCATGGCGTTTGGTGAGACAGCTGAATTCAGGGGAAAAAAACCCCATCCGTGACCTAAACTGCATTGAGATGTAGATTTCCAGAAAGATTTTGGAACACTACGTTAACAGATTCCGCAGTCCTAAGTTTACTCTGTTTCCTTGTTATTGTCATTGCTTTATTCCAACGTGAGTTTTAAATGAGAAGTCTTCAGACAAATGGTGTGCACGTGTTCTCAGATATTCCTGATAAGAACTGTCTATACTTTTCCATCATCCAGATTTACTGCATTAGAAAAAAAAAAAAATTACAATATACTTCAAAAGTTTTTATATATCTAAAAAGCACAATACCACGTGTTCCTTCAAGATCTCTCCTATTCCAGGTCTCGTTACTCTTCATTCTAGTTGCTTGCTACTTTCTGATTTCTGGTCCAGCCTGCTCTTGTTGTTCTTCACCATATAGATGAAATAAGCAAGAGTCTCTTTCTCATTCACAGGAATATTCCTGAAGTGTCGACTGACAGTCTGGAACAACAACATACAAAAAGACAGAAATTTGGAAATTTAAAAGTAGAAATAACCAGAACTCCGGGTTCCCTGCGTTTTCCAAAAGCTGATTTTACGGTCGCTGAGCACAATACACTCCTAGACAAACATGCACAATTCAGTCCTCCTTTACCTCTCTCTGTCTCTCTCTTTACAGCTGGAACGTTCATACGAGCAGAACACAGTCTTGCTATGTCAGCAGTATTTGCAGCCAACCTACAAGCGGAATTTGAAAGCCAGAAAGTCCTCCTGCCAAAGCAGCATATTCTCATTTCATGCCGAGATTATTTGGAAGAGTAAAGTCTTCCTGCATCTCAGTATTTTAAGGTGGGGTGTCAGAAACACTGAAACACTTTGCTATGTGAACCAGATGTAGTAAAGTCTTAGATTCCAAGGGAAAATACACTGGGTAAGCTTTCACCAAAAGGAATCCCTGGGGATTTGCAATGGGAATGTCAGGGTTCAGTTAAGGCTACCCGTCTCAGATTTGAGTGTAAGCCCTGAACCACAGCTGCTTTCTTTTTCCCCTCAGAAAATGAATGTAGAAAACACTGGAGCTGGGCGAGACCTGCTTCTTATATTGAAGAAGCTCTTTTGGTTCTCAGTACAACTCCAGAGCTGGATATTGATGCAGGCTGAGCAATAAGTCACTCCAAGAAGATTTATGGAAGTTTGAATTTTCCTTACGGTGGGGTAGCAGCAGGAGTCTAAGAGCCTCAGGCAGCAGTGATTCAAGCATGGGAGCTGGACGAGGATCCAGCGTAGTGTCAAAGCTGCTCAGACTTCACAGGAAATCTGGGAAGTGTGTGACAACTTTAAGTTAGGCTCCCTTTAAGGTTATTTTCTGCTTGCACAGTAGGTTTTTTTTTTTTTCTCCTTTCCCCTCCTGGGCATATGCATGGTAAATTGCTTAAGTATGCAGTCCTTCATGGCAGGAGGCAACCAACAGACTGGTTACTTATAACATATAAATCTGATATACTAATGAGGACATACAATCTTACTCCTACGTGCACTACACTATGTATTCTCTACGTTCATTCTCTAGCTGACACTGCAAGAAGAAGAAAGTGTTTTGCTGTCTTTTTAGGTTGTTCTTTAAAGTAATAGCAAAACTGTTCGGTCTTTGGGAAGACAGCTGTGAAAACTCCAGCTCACAAAAATAACCTCATTATCACTCAGTAACTGCTACAGTTCCTCTAAGTGTGGAGAAGACATTTCCTGGAGAATGCCTTCAGATCCCATCAGGAGAGAAAGAAGAGCAGATGCATGTCAAGCACAACTACCCTAACTAACAGAGTTGCAGGGAGTTATTTCTCAATAAATATGGTGTGAAAGAAACAGTAGAGTTTTTTCCTTAAGGAAAAAAAAACAACCCTTTACTAGAGAATCATAAGACACTGGGACAAGGGAGAGAAATAAGGAATCTGAAGTCACGGTCAATGATTTTGCCTTAAAAAAAAAATCAGCAATTTCAAGCAGTTCAGGTGGCTGCAAGGAAATAAAAAATAGGGGCACTTAAAGTAACTATTAATGGGGAAGTTTTAATTTCAGAAAAACAGCCATCTTCAGCTAACACTCAGGCCAGTCAAAACTATGTTTTCCTAAAGGTAACAGACTGTGTCTATAAGTACAGAAGTAAAGGAAGCAGGAAAAAGCAAGTTACTAAAACATGCTTTTAAGAACAACCTCCCATGATTCCCATGACCACCCCGGTGAAAGAAAGCACACAGCTTTCTGTTCACACCATCTCCCAGATCTGCCATGGAGCACATGCTGCACGTTAGTCACTACAAGAATTAGCATCCAAGAAACGGGCACAACAGCATAGGAGCAAAAAGCATTTTAATAACAAGAGAGAATACTAACACCTCGTTATCACTTACTTCTGCCAGCTGAGCCTTGTTGAGTCCAGGCCTGGTCTGCAGCTTATAATGTCTCTTGTAACGTCGCAGAGTATTCACTTGGAGCTGGAACAAGTCAACCTGGAAGTGAAACAGAGCGCAGGGGATGAGTGCTCACTTTAGCATCTATTAAGCATAGATGCAGAGTGATCTAAAAATAACTACTTCCTCATCAACAGAGCTGCTCCTTGCTCGCATTCAGAACCACGTCAGCTTGCCTTACAGACAAATCTAAATCTATTTTATACTTGTTAATGCTAAAAGACTAAAACAGCCTCAGGGAAATACGGAATTTCGTTCTGGTTCACATGCTGTCAACAGAATTGCTGGCCAATTTCTACTATCAATTACACCTCCGCAAGCTCTGAGCAAAAGGAAACCTTTTGTTCCCATAAGGTTTAAAAAGCTCACATCCGAAATACCAGTTTTGCAGGCACTGAACAAATGCCTTGTGACATAAGACAGAGCTCAGAGATAAAACGTAACTCAAATATATCAATGGGGAGTGCACTGCTTACAAGCAGGTTGCAGGATGAAGATCATGTGAGAAATGTCACGTTTCAGAGACAGAGAAGTTCTGCATATTTCCTTCCCCTCCTTCCCCTCCCCCCCCCCCAAAAAAAAAAAAGAAAAAAATGACATAAAGACCAACATGCTGCACAGTTCCATGTGTGGTAACATAACGAGCATCCCTCAGTTTTAAAACAGCACACAGCATACACAAGCTGTAGCACCAACATCCCTGGATGCCAGCTGGGCTTTCAGCAGCTGTTAAGGTAACTGATGTGATGTCAGTATTGTGAAGTTCCAACAGAAAACCAGATGGAACAGAAGCACAAACAGCTACAACAAAGGCTCACGTATCCTCAAAAGGAAAAACAAATCTCAGTGCTTCTTCCAGACCTCCAAGCAGGTGTGTGGATTGCTGGCATAATGCCTTACTTTTCCTCTGAGGACAAACGCTCCTTGCCAGCACGGGAGGCACATCCAGCAGAGGGCTCTGCTGACACGGCCAGTACTCAGGGCCTCCATCACGATTACCTTTGCACAACTTCATGCAGTGCTAACAGCGCCAGAATCATCAAAAAGCAAACACTGCATACAGCTGGACAAAGGGGCGATTCTATCATTTTGTAACGCAGAAATAAATCTGTCTACCTCCTTAAAATAAATAAATGCTACCAATACAGTCCATAACTTGAACGTAATTTTTAAGCAGCTAGAAGTATGACATACAAAGGTCTGCAAAAGCCTAAAATCTCTGGTTCTCACCAGTCATTCAGAGATGGATTCAATACTCTACAGTCTTTGTGAAATGATGCATGCTAGCTAACAAAGAACCACATCAGGACCCCAGTCCCCTCTGTAAATACAGTTTGCTTAGCTTCGAAAAAAGGAAGTAAGGTTTTCTTATCTAAAAAAGGTAAAGCAACCTAGCAGCTCCCTGTTTGGAAATGCTACGTACACAGAGCTGTGCAGTTAGATTATTACACTTTTTTTATAGCAAGCTTTACAAGATCAGAGAATTGCTATGGGGATGACGAAGAAAACCAGGATATCACACATCAGCTAAGTCTTGGAAATAAAAAATCAGAGCAACTTCACAGTAGCTTTTGTGGTGCTGAGAATATTCCAGTGAAATTTCACCAGGCCCAACACTGGTTAAGGTTAAGGAACCTACAAGCTCTTGGCAGCTACTGACCTCCGGGACGTCCGTCTCGTGCTCAGGAGAGTCGCCTCCATCATCACTTGTCTTCCTTTTCCGTTTGTTTCGGACACTTTGAATAAAATTCTTGTGAAAATCACATATATACAGATGTCTCACCTAAAAAGCAGAAGTGGTAAAAAAAAAAAGCAATCAAAACAGGCAGTGTAAAAATGGCATCCAGCAGTATTACAGAGTACCTGCTTACTTCCTCGTGGCCAACGTTAAGAAATCTCTAATCTTAAAGCCCAGGCATGGAAGATTGCTTACACTACAAACACTAAAAACAAGGAAAATGAAGGACTCAAGAGCTCCAGCTGAACCTCTGCAGATAACATATTTCTTCTTTATGGTTGTAATCACATGTCAGAAAAAAAAACAACAGTGGACTGTCCAGAGGAAATGCATCTGCTTTAGGAATTACTGCCAGGGTGCTACCAAGAAAAATGTTGCTCTGTTCCAGCCTTGCAAACTTTCTGTTTTGAACAGTACATGAGATTATTAATTTAGGCAAAACAGAAATTGGCTAATTATCTCAGTTAAAAGAGGCAAACTAATAGCAAACGTATCCCTTTGCCACAGCTTATCTCGCCACAGACCCTGGATTTTAACTGAAGTTATCTGACAAGAAGTGGCACACGTACAAAAAAGGACCACAGATGATCAAAATTATTTGATACCAATAAGATATCTTCAAGTGATGCACACACCCTGCATGCCGAACTCCTTCAAGCAGCACACTTCATACTCCCCATTTCATTCATCTGATTTCCTCTTTTTATCTCTGAAACCCTTAACCTAGCAATGAAGACTTACCTTCTAGAACGAGGTGCCTGCACCACCAAAACAACCCACTGCACCCTGTGACCAGCAGAAACAACATTTTATTCCTAAAACCCCAGAGATCCCCTTCTTTCCATCACGTTTTGTATCTTGGATGTGTAAAAGGGACGTAAGCAACAGAAGAAGCTGCCAAATGAAGGACTCGAAACTTCACCTTCTTTACTTTTCAGTGCTTTCAATCTGAGATCAGATAAGAAAAGCAGGCAGAGCAGACTTCCGGCAACAGCCTCACTTCTGAGAAAAGCCCTCTGCAGCCCCCACCACTGCTCTGCTCTATGCATTCTCTGCCCAGCAAGCCCGTTTCTATCTTGAGCTGACAGCTGTCACTTCGTGGCACAAAGCAGTCAGCAGCAAACCAAGCTGCTCAGTGCCAACCAGCCAACACATGTGCAAGCGCCCTATTTAAAAGGCACCTCACATTCTGAGCTTGATGCAATGGTTTATTTTTAAGTAACCCGCTCCACTATCGCGTTCGCTGAATCACAGAACGGCACGGGCTGGAAGAGACCTTAACGATCGCCTCGTTCCCACCCGCTGGCAGGGCTGCCACCCACGAGGTCAGGCTGCCCATTCATTCTCCTTAATTAACCGAGTCGGTTACGCTTAACTTGAGATAACAATCCGCACCGTTTATCTCACCTAGCAGCACGAGCGTGTTCCAGCACGAAACCCGCATTAAAACAGCAGGGCAGCCTCCAAAGCGCAGAGCCGCCCGTCCGCCCAACCCGAACGACCCCGCCGCCCTCCGCTCCGCTCCGCGGCTCGGTGCCGCCCGCATTCCGCGCCTGCTGCCGAGCACCGAGCCCGGCTCCGCACCCCGCAGCGCCCGGGGATCTCCAGGAAGGCGCGACCTCCTGAGGCCGCGACTCACGCTTTTGTCGATGTCCAGCTTCAGCTTCTTCTGTGAGATGCTCTTCTGGATCCTCTTGCTGAAGGACGCGTTGCCCGCGGGCCGCGCGCAGCGATCACCGTCGTCGATGAGGCAGCAGCTCTGGCCGTAAAAGGGGGCGGCGGGCGGCCCGTCCCGGCTGTCCTCCTCGGTGCTGAACCCATTCATCGCCCACCCGCCCGCCCCTCGGCCCCGAGCGCGGAGCCGACCGCCGCGGAGGGAGCCGCCGCCCCGCCGCCGCCTCTCAGCGAGCGGCCCTCGGGGGGACCCCGCCGCCCGCCGGGGCCCCCCACGCCTGCAGGGGTCCCCTCACGGGGGGGATCCCCCGAAGCGGCCCGGGAAGGACCGCCTGCCGCCTCTCGCTACCGGCGGTGCCCGCGGAGGCCGGGCCGCGCCGGGCTCAGAAACGCCGTCGCCCCCCGAGAAAGCCGGGACCCCGCTCGCACCGCTCTCACACACACACAAAACCGCCTCCCCGGCGGCGGAAGTCCCGCCCCCCCCGCCTGAAAGCACGGCATTGATTCGGTGGGCCAGGCCCGGGGGCGGGGCATAGCCCCGCCGCTCTGTGATCCTATTGGGGGATAGCGCAGTCCGTCTGCCGCTACAGCGAGGCTCCGCCCCTCTCCCGCTCTCGCACGGCAGCCGGAAGGCCGGGAAGAGGGGGGCGCGCGCCGTTGCCAGGGCACCGCGGTGCCCCCCCCCCCCCCCAGTGCCGCGGCCTCCCCTCAGCGCCGGGCCCGCGTCCCTCACGGCCGTGCATGGAGGAAGGCCTTGCGAAACCCGGCGGCTCCCCAAGTCGGCCCTTGCCCGGGCGCTGGGCTAATTAAACACCGCAAAAAAAAAAAAAAAAACACCAATAAAAAAAACCCACCTCCCACCAAAACAAACAAACAAACAAACAAACAAACCCACCACCACAACAAAAAGCACCAAAAAACACCAAGAAAAAGAAAATTTGGGGCTGAACGTGCATTGCTGCCCTAGTAAATAACTCTGACACTTTCTGGGCATCACCCGACACTGAGGTTCCTGAGGAGATTATTAAATACATATAATTTCTAAGTACACAACAGAGAGAGAGGGAAGAGTGAGCTTGGAAGCGTGTTCCTGAGGCAGGCTGACTGGAAACATGCACAAAGAAATGAATGTTGGTAAAGGTGTCACTTTGGAAGCGCCGTCACCTGCGGGCAGCAGGCAGCAAACACAGCAAACACTGCCAGTGGGCACGGGAAGCGGAAAGTCATCCCATCTTCCTGAGGAGGCTTCTTGTACAACCAGAGAAACAACGTGCTATAGGATAACGTATTTCTGCAAAGCCTGAACTCATACAGATGGAAAAACGCGCTTTAGTGCAGGATGAGCTGGGCTGAAATTGCCCGTGTGAAATACCTCAAAGGCCCACACAGCAACACTGACACTTGTGGCCTCTTCTTCTTCCAAGACAGCCCAAAAGTACTAAAACACACATGTTCCAGGCAGCCCTTGCATCACCAAGTGTGTCAGAATAAATCTCGAGGGCAGGGCTCAGTCTCACTACACTTCCTCCATAGTTCTCTCTTGTCTTGGTTTTTGTTGTCAATGAGTAATTTGTTTGTCCCTACAGCTACTGGAGAACCTCAGTGCACTCTCCTGGGGACAGCAGGCCCAGACCCATCCACTCCAAGGGGGAGGGGTGGAAACAGCTTCACCTTGCAGCCCAACAAGTGGACAAGGAAGAGGAAAGAAACTTAGAGGAGCAAAAAGCCCCCGCTGATAAAAGCTCCCATCCCGATTGCTTGGGAGCCTGCCTGAAGCAGTATGCTGGTACACCAAGGTAGATACCAAGGAAATGGGAAGCACAGAGGAGTGACAGTACATCTGTGGTCTTAGATTTCCTGATTGCACCCTACTTTTATCTTAGTGATACAAATAAAACTCAAATCAGGCAAGACTGCCTCAGCGTTTGAGAAACTCACAACACAGACTGCAGGGACAGAAGATGAGAGCAGCAAGCAATCGGATAAAAGAGAACTTAATGGTAACAGCCAGGGCTTCCTCCTGTCCCAGCAGCAAGGAGATGCTGCAGGTGCTCCTTGAATGCCTCCATGCAAAGTTGGCTGGAGAAAGAGGCACAGGTTGGTATTTACCATCCCACTGCATTTCATTTCTGTAAATGTCATGTAAAGCCTGATCAGCAGTGCAGATGAAACAAATTATTTTTTTTCAAGTTGCCTTGCAATATCTATTAATGGGGAAAAAAAAAAAAAAACAAGTTTCTCTTGTTGCTGTTTGCTATTTCAATGCTAGCTCCTGCCAGCTCAGGGTAATGCAGTGACACATCTTTTCAGTCTTCCATAAAAAAGAACGTGGAGGTCTTCATATAATTACAGTCTATTTCAGCTTATTTATCTTCATGGGAACCTGAAGATTTCACAGCCTGCTAGACCAGAACTAGCTTGCTGTAAAATAAACTGCTTCACAGAGCCATTCTTTATTAGGTATCTATCACTAACCTGATCTAATAATTCTTTGTGGGAACTGCAATGAAGTGAGAAACAATGTTTCATACACCCATCAGCACCGAGGCAGCTTTAGTGCCTTTGAAGCAGCGATAGCCTGCTCACCAGAGTCAGCCTCTAATGAAATTAAGGAAACCCGCACAGGCCCTTAAATCTTACCTGGAACAGCACTACCTTCTAAAGATAGGTCTGCAGTATAGCTGTCATCTGGAAGTTGCTGTTTTAATGGCATCATTCACGGTTCTTGAGGCAGAAATACTATTCCCCAAAGAGTACGTGCTGCAAAAGATGTCCTGAGATGGCCTTTTTTTCACCTCCAGCCAGAAATCAGAGTATTCCCATTCACTCTGTGTTGGAGGCCCATAGAATCACAGCACTAGTGGTGCTACAGATTCCCTCCCTCATCACCATTTCTGTGATGGCATATACTGAGTTGAAGGTGACACTGCTATGGTGCTTAAACTCCCACAGCTATAGGCATGCACTGCCCACTGAAATGCTTCCATGGCCAAGAATCACAGTGCAGTCTTCCCCTAGGAGTCTGCCTTGCAGTCGTCTGCTGTTCCCAAAGGAAGAGCCTTTCCATACCTTCACACTTGCATTTTCACACAATATTGCTGCCCCCCTTCGTTTTATTGCACTGTTTTTCAGTTTTACCCCATGGAGACATATAAAAATGAGCTTTGGGAAGGCACAAAAGAAATGGTGACATCTCTGCATGTTTCCCAGTGGGGCTGGAGGAGAGCACCGTGTCTTGTGTCAGGAATCCTATGGTATAGAAACACCAGACCAGGTAATGAAGCTATTTCTAAGAAGCAGAGAGAAAGAAAATCAATCACCAGAGCAAAGCAGTCAGGGACAGTCATTTCTGCATACACAGATTCAGAAAACACATTAAAAATTTATTTTAAATATATTATAAAAGGAAGTCCATTCAACTTTAAAAACACTAGGCATTCTATCAATGATTCCCAGTTTATGAAAGCTACTACATTAAAGTGCTACAAGTCCTTTACCACCCCCAGATATTAGGCTGTTGGTCCTAATATGCACAGAAATAAATATACACTAATTCAAGAGGCACCATCCAGTTTTACAGATAAAATGCATGCAGTACAAGGTATAGACAAACTTAGATCTTATCACCACGATTCTGAAGAATATCTTTTAAAACCAATTCTCTTCACCACCCTACAGACTAAAGCTATTTGTTGCTTTTATCACAAGGGTAAATCTTTCATCTTTTAGCTTGATCAGGTCGTCTTTATTTGTTTGTTTGTTTGAACTTCTCTTGTGGTTGAAGGTCTCATTTGCTTGCTCTCTAATTAGGATTAAAACTTTTTTTCCAAGAGTTGAACTAGTAGCTTTGAGACCGCAGGATCCAGTGTCGTTACATAAGACTGCTGGAATCCCTAAAGTCCTTTGGGTAATACAGAGGTATCAAGAAAGCTCAAATGCAGTGAGCATAATCAGCTAGCAGAAGCAGAGTTTAAAAAAAAAATAGCCATAGGGTTTTAATGAGGATTTCTGTAATATATCGTTGCCTAGTTTCATGCACAGATCTCCAAGTTCAAGTGTGACACTACAAAGGAGCTAGCTGAACACCTACTAAGGTAGAAAAATCAAGCACTTACAGCTAAATCTTACACCGTTAGGAAACTCCAGCACACAGACTCACCTTGCTTAGGTGACTCGAGCCTATTGCTTGATGCACTGAGAAATGGAGCAGGACCTCCTAGTGCTCCTGACTCCCAGCCTGGCTCCTCTCTTACTGTCTATAACCTTTGACAGGCCTTTCAAACCGATCTTCACAGATCCTGAAGTAACCTAAAGTTCTTCATCATTTTTGGCAATAGTTTGCTAACTATTTAAGAAGCTTGTCATGCTAACTAACTGTTAAAACAAATCTACCTTGCTGCTTCTCAGGCAAGGACCCCTTAGGCACTATCAGGCTCCTTTGTTGCAAGTGCTTAGAAACACAGTAGGTGAGTATGAACTTGAACCACAGCAGTTGGGAACAGACAGCACACTTGGATCCCCTGCTAGCAAAGCCAGACTGTTTCACACAATTTTAACAGCACTCTTTTGACTGAAAGAAAACATTACAGGCTGACTGCTAGAGGCTGTCATTTCTCTCCAGTCAAAACTATTCAAGTGCCTGTTCCTATCTTGAAAGAATTTAAAATAAAGGTTACTCCCTTTTCACACCCAGCAGTTATGCAATTGCCCAATACAACTTTTAAGAGATCTCCCTCATCTCCCCTCAGTGATGCAAGTCAGTAGAGCTACTGCAACGATCCTTATATCTTCTGCAATACTGGCTGCTTGTTTGACTTCAGTGCAGCAGGGAGGAGGAAAGTTTGCTGCCTGGAAATTTTCAGTAAAGGAAAGCGAAGTTCTGTGCACAGATGTTACAGTAAAACAAACCAGGAAGAAAGTTAAGGGGAGAAATTGCTTTCTTGCTACTTCTGTATTAGATTTGAACGTATCCTTTCAAAGCTTCTTAGCGATTGAAAGTGTCAACTTTCTGTAAGACACCGCTGCTACAAATCTGATCATTTTTATTTGTGATTTCCTATTTGGATACTCAGAACATGAAAGGCAGGACCTCACATGCCAGTGAAACTCATTAGCCTTCACCATGAACACCCAAAAGCTATCAAGAAAACCTCTGGTCTAGCTTTA